ACAGAACCGGCCTCTGCTGAGGAGCAGAAACCGGGCCCCGCCACAGAACCGGCCTCTGCTGAGGAGCAGAAACCGGGCCCCGCCACAGAACCGGCCTCTGCTGAGGAGCAAAAACCGGGTTCTGCATCAGAACCGGCCGTGGCAGAGGAGCAGAACCGTTGTGTACAGTCCAGCGGGGAACCACAACAGGTCAGAACCTAGAATTAAGTGTAGAGAAATTACTATTAACGGAATTTTTAGGTTCTGACAGGTTCTGTATGTCCCGTGTTCTGTCCCAACAGCTGGACCTGTCTTCAGTGGAATCGGTCCAGCAGCTGGAGTCTCTGGGTCTGGACGTCCTGAAGGAGGAACTTGTACGGCGTGGGCTAAAGTGTGGGGGAACGCTGTCGGAGCGCGCCGCCCGTCTCTTCTCCGTCAGAGGGCTGAGTCGGGATCAGATCGACCCGGCGCTGCTCGCCAAACCCACCAAGGTTAAGAAGAAGTAAAGGAACAATTTGCCATTTTTATCAAATGTTAAAGAGACCAAAATATTCAGCTGAGAAGGACCGGGAGTTCTGGACTGGAAGTTCCCAGGTCCAGAGCTTCCTGTCGGGAATGAAGCTGCATGGCTCCAAAGATCCAGTATTTGAACAGATTTATTGATGCGTCAACATGTGACATCACTGTTTTCATTAAAGTCCAATTTTAAATATTCCTGGAGTCAATTCATTTGAGTCTGATGTTCTTATCCGGACCTCAGAACCGCCAGAGTCCGATCCGGTCAGAGGTTAAAGTCTATCTGCAGGTCTGTGTCAGAACCCCGGGTCCCAGGAAGTGACCTGGGGAACATCCAGCTCCTCAAAGCACTCGATGACATCACCGGCTTTGAAGTCCACGTCACCGTCTGTTGATACGCCGCACTCCATCCCCGTCTTCACTGTCTGAACGTCGTCCTTGTGGTGCTTCAGCGCCGATATAGAACCTGCAGCAGAATCAGAACCTAAGAGTTAGAATCTGCAGAGCTCAGGTGTTAGATGTATGGATCTAGATTATGGCTGCATTAGCTGCTCAGTATGGAGCTCAGAATTTCTCTCTAGATTTCAGATCATATTTTCTAACTAGATGTTTATTTTGAATGAATGAAAAAAATAAATGATGCTGCAGCGCCTGGAAATTAAAATTTTTACCATAAAATCTTCCTAAGCCTCTAGAATGTAAATCACAGCCAATGTCTGCATCCATTAATTTACATATTTTTGGTTCTGATGGAGAATCGGATCTAGAAGGTGAAAGTTTCCTCATCTTTACCAGGAATTTCAGGACTGCTGTTCATTTAGCTATGGTGCAGTGCAGCCAGTGGCCTGTAGGGGGAGATAAACCTGGAACTTTCAGGTTCACCTGGTAAATCCTTAATATTTTCATTCCCTCGCTGAAAGCACCATCTGTTCAGGAACTAAATTGATAAATTTCCATATATTCATTAGAGGTCTCATTTACTTATCCCCCCGGAAACCAGCCTGTGTCCAAATGTCTCCCGGCTCAGAGCCCCCACTTCAGGATGTCATAACAGTTCATTCACTTTCAGTGTATATATATATATATATATATATATATATATATATATATATATTCTTCTATGGTTTTGTGTCTTTATTTTTAATATCTGATTGGAGAGCATGAAGGCAAAGGTTCCTGTGCGTCCAGAATAAGGCCCCCCTGCTCCCCACTAATCATTTTATCTTAAATTTGGTGCCATGCTGTGGGGAGAGTTTTAACCCATTTATGGGCCACTGTCACAACAAATCCCATGGTGCTTTGCGAGGAAAGATATAAAGCATTCCAGGATCCATCTGCTCATCTATTGACTGTGGATGATCACTGCTTTTCAAGGTGCATTGTGGGAAATCTCAGGTCCACTACCTTTTACACCCACTAGACGTTCAGACACTAACTCAAAATGGTGTAACCACTATACAGTGCTCTATATAATGATCAGTGTGGACGTTTGGTCACAGACTGAGGGCAATGACGATCAACTACATTACCCAGAAGTCTCAGAGGCCACATTCACCCAGTCAGACTAAGAACAGCAGTTTCTGTCTAACTCACCCTCCCACACTGTATCCTTTCCTCGGATCAGCCTGAATTTCAGGCGTCGGTCCAGGTGGCCCTTCTGGACCCGGCAGCCAGCTACCGGAACCTTCTTCTTCCCCACAGAGACATCAAAGATGGCGAGGACCGTCGCCTCACCTGCAGCAGAGGACCGAGACAAGGGAAAGGAGGTGATTTGCATGAAATCATCTATATCTTTACCAAATCATGAGCCTCAGAAGCAACCGGGCCCTGAGCTGAAACGGTTCTGATGTTTGGATGAGAGCTGGAGGTCACAGCTTTAATGAGCGGCCCGACAGAACCTCTTCATCTGTCCACTTTGAAGACAGCTTCACCTTGCAAGGGTGTCATAACATTTGACAAAACCCTGTGAACTGACTTTTTCAGTAAAGAGAAGACTCTGCTAACAAGGTAGACGTTTTCTTCACAACAGGGGACAGGGAACAATTCTCCAAAACAATTTGACCTAAAAAGAGTTTTTTTTGAAAAAGTGAACTGTTTAGGTGTAAAAGTTCTTCATAAATAAAGTAAACATTCTCCTTATAAAATCAGGGTTCTCTTGACAAGATGAAGGTTCTGCTAGCAAGGTAAATTTTCTCTTCACTCCTGACAAAGAAAAATGGTCTCCTAAAAGGGTTCTTAAAAAATAAAAGGTTCTTCTGACAAAATCAAGGTTTTTGTGATGAGGAAAAAACTGGTTGTTGTCACTAAGAAACGGCCACTGACACTGCGTCCCCGGGACGGGCTGTACTGAAACTGAATTTCTTTTGTGGATTAATAAAATATAAATAAATTTAATTCAAGTCTAAATAAATTTACGTTCTTCTAACAAAAGTAATGTTTTCTTGACAAGCAACATGATCTCTCACAGAGCGAAGGTTCTTTCTAAAAATCGAAGATTTTGCATAAAAAATAAAGAGTGTCCTGATGTTATCAAAGTTCTCCTGACAAAAATCAAGGTTCTTGTGGCAAAATAAATTCCCTTCTGTCACTATCAAGTTTCTACGGAAGAGGATTAGGGCCACTGGAAAAAAAAAAAAAAGGTAACTGATTTTTTTTTTAAGTTTTATTTCAGTTTAATATGGGAAAAAAGTCAGAATTCTGACTTTTTT